AACAATTTTAAGAAGGGAAACTACAGCATTATATTCTAGAGACAATGGCATTTTATACCCAACTAAACTACTGACCAAGTGTGTGGGCATACTGAATGTATTTTTGAACAGGTGAGGACTTGTGCTTTCTAAAATAGTGACTAAAAGCTGTCACAGAGTAATAGAAGAGATTAGAGATTAGAGAAGAGAAAGAAAAGGCATGAGACCAGAAGAAAGTGGCTACAACTGGGAAGAGCAATGAAAGGAAGTTACAGGGTAATAAACCTAGAAAGTAATCAGAGCAAATTGGAGTAAGAGGATAAAAGGACTTAAGAATAAGATATTCAGGGAAAAAAGGTAAGGGGTTGCAGTCTAGAATACATAGAGTCTGAGAGACTGAAAGCAAAGGATGACATAAAGGCTGGGTAACAGGAAAAAATGAAACTAGAGGTGGGGGAAAATCTGTACAAAAGATTCCCAATCAAAAAAAGAATCAAACTCAAAGACGGCCTGACTATAAGCAGTGATAGAGTATAATGTTTGAAAGCAAATATTTTATAACTTGGGTGGCCCATAAGTCATAGCATGTGACTCAGGGATATGTTAATCCAATCTGGCTTATAATTTGGCCAAAGGTTCTGTAATTTTGACATGATTAAAATAAAGCTGATTATAGTTTTTTTCACATTTAGATCCAAAATATGGGGAAAAACATGGATGTAATGTGAAACAGCATAAAATTATTAACAGAGCCCTCAAGTGTAAAAGATGGGAGAAGGCCTTTCACCATAATGGGGGCATTACCCTTTGAAAGTCACAGGGGCTATGATACTGTAAGAACAGAGAAGGAAGTCTAATACTTGATGTTACAGTAAACAACCTTATGTAAACATAACAGTATGGGTGTTGCTTTTTATATTTTTAACTTTTAAAATTAACCTATACATAAGTTAGAAACACACAAAATAATATACATTTTATATGATGGAGAAGTACAATAGTAAAGGCAGAGGAGATGAGAGAGAAGGGGACACTAAGTTCCTCATTTCAATTTTCTAGGTTTAATGGAATGATGAGTAGAGACGTAGGCATGTTGCAGGTTGTGGAGAAAGCTAGTGGAGATCATGAGACCAGCTATATTTAGCCATGAGTATTCTGGGAGGAGATGAACCAGAACAAGGCAGATGGGACTTGAGTACAACTTGCCTACTGCTGCGGAAATCTAAGGTAATGTCTAAGACTAATAAGACATTAAAGCACTGAAAATAAGTATGATATTGACAAAACGAATCAACCTTCATCCTAAATAACAAGAACAGAGCCAATCATCAGAAATATAGAAACTGTTTGAAATGGTGCCTCCTAGGGAGTAAAACTAGAATGAGACGGGAAAACACTGCTTTTCATCATAACTCCTTAAGGCAGACTACTTAATCTTTAAACAGATTGTTTATAATATACTTATTAAAAAATAGAAGTATGATAATGGTTTCAGTTTCTAATACCATCCATTATGGGTTTGCCCACATTTTCTAAATCTACAATACTTTCTGATTCTGTTGCTTTGATATAAGGAAATAATATCTGCTCCCCAAAAGCCAAATAATTATTATCTTTCTAAAACATGTATGTCTATGCTGTTATTTGAAAGATTACATAAGATAGTTTGGCTGAAATTAAAGAGCTATTACTTCAGTTCCAAAAGCAAGAAGAGAATATGTACAAACCTACTGCCCTAAAATGTACCCTTTGGCCTATAATTTACATGTTAAACTGATTCAAATTTTGTTTCCAATGAGATGCTCAATGTAATAAACTCATACATTTATAAAAAGCTCGCCATTTCTTAGCAAATATAAATGCACTTGGAGAACTTTTCAGAAGCTATCACTGCAATAGCACAATGATTGCTACGCCCACCTGAGCTATTAAGATTTCTTTCTACTGAGCAATCATTCAGAATTATCTGTTGTTCCCTTTTTTTCGGATCTCTTCTCATTAGTCATTTTAAAGAAATTAGCAAGTACAGCCCCATCAAGTGACTCTTTCCAGGCCTAGGTTCTAGCCAATGAAGCCACACTTTGGCCAGGTCTCCATGAGTGCAAAATCCAAGTCTTTGAAGACAGCATTTGTGATTGAGTTTAGACTGTGATATCGAGCAATTCTCTTTTCACATAAAGTGCTTTGTGGACATTACTCTGATGGGTGTTATAAAGTCAATAAAGCACAGCCCTCCTGCCTTCACAGTGGTGATCCCTAAAGGCTGACTGAATTCAGAGTTCAGCCTTCTTAACCTGTTGGTAACATCATATGAAAGATTAAACACGTTGAAAAGTGGCTTTGGTCCTGCAGTGTCCCTCCCAGGTCTCAGAGAGCACAATTTTAAGACCCAAACTATCAAGCGCAGCTTTCCTGAACCTTGGTAATGGAGGCCCTCTGTGCAGATCAGGAGGAGGATTAGACTGTGTAAATATGATGGAGATTCTTTGGCCAAATGTACTGCAGAACAACTTAAAGGATATTATCCCTTTTTCTAAGTGATTCTTCTCTTTGAAAGAGTTAAGCTATTTTGCTTGGAGAAATTAACCATTAATCATTAATTTATTTAATGTAAGTTTTCTTTTTTTTTTTTGAGTTGGAGTCTCACTCTGTCACCCAGACTGGAGTGCAGTGACTGCTCCCGGTCACTACAGCCTCGACCCGCTGGGCTCCGGCAATCCTTACGCCTCAGCCTTCCAAATAGCTGGAACTACAGGTGCGTGCTCCCATGCCTGGCTAATTTTTTGATTTATTGTAGAGATGAGGTCTCGCCAAGTTGCCCAGGCGGGTCTCGAACCCGAGGGCTAGGCAATCCACTCACTTCAGCCTCCCAAGGTGCGGGATTACAGGCTGAGCCACCGAGCCTGGCTGTAAATTTTTTAACTGATGAAAAATACTGATGTTATTGCTTTTTCTAAGTCTTAAAATACTAAATTTGACAGGCCAGGTATTTTTAAAAAGTAGTTTAATGCCTTTTACCGAGTTAGAAAAAAAACCAAACACTCAGTGAAAATCTTTTTTAAAAAAAGTGCACAGCTAAAACTGAAACAAGCCCAAGAAGTGACTACATTTGCATAACTCGATCTGTATTTGGAAAAAAAGTTCCACTTAAGACAACAATGGAAGCTTATCAAATCAGAATTTTACATAGATTTTCCATAGCCCTACTAATGAATACTGACTCATTGGTCAGTTATGGTGAAAATTTAATGCAGCTCTAAGATAAGAAATGCATGAATTAGAGTGTGTTCAGTGGTTCCATTGCATCAGTATGAAAACTGCATTAGGCATCCAGCTTCTTTGCTGTTTTCTGAGACCAATTCTGGAGAACTGTAGTAATTAAGTATTTTGCTTGGAGGAGGACTCTGCCATTGAATTAAAATCCCTTTCATTTCTCCACAGTCATGAAAGATTTGGAGTTTACGTAAAAAGATGGCAGGTAACCTGCAATTGAATCCTTCCTAAGAAAATGATAAGCCTTAGGATGAATTCTAAGGCAGGACTTAAATTATTATTACAGTATTCTATGAAGTTGGACCCGTAGATGGTCAACTATTGTTATGGCACTGAAAAACACATCTTCATAGAGTGAAAGTCTGAAGCAAGTCTGATTGAAAGCAGGTGCTAGTTTTGCTTCCAAATGCTTATCATCTTCTAAGAATTTGTCCTGTATTGATGATATGTGCTTATGCAGAAAATTTCACCTTCTACAATTAGTTCAGAGTATCAGCTAATATTTGTGATATGTTTACCTGTTTCACAATGGACTGAAATTGATAGATCAGTTATTGTCAACTATGTAAACATTTACCATATCAAGTATTGCTGGAAGTGTTAAGATCTGCCCTCTTCCCGAGAAATGATTGTATATTAAATCACTTTTTGATTGATAAGGATTAGCCTATCAACTTTCTTTTCATGGTTAGGAGTTTATTTTAGCCCACTCTCAAATTCTTTCTTACATTTAATTTTTAAAAGATAGCCCTAAGTTAGAAAATTTTAAAAGTGGGGAGAATAATAAACTCTATGCATATGTTTTCTTGTTAAAAAATATGTTTTGCCTGCATGATCCATAAGGTAATTTTCAGCAATAGAAATCTAATATACCGCTGATTCTATCTATCCATTCATCTAACTTACATACTAACAGTGATAACAACAATAATGAATAAAAATGGTATTAATAGCAGAGGGCATTAACAGAACTTACTTTTGTTCCAGAAATGCTGTTAAATACTTTACATAGGTCATCTTATATATTCCTCTCAATGCTGTGTGTAAGTATCCCCACTTAACAGATGAGAAAGCTAAGACTTAGAGAGAATATAACTTGTTCAATGTCAACATGAGTGAGTGGTGAATTCCAATTAGCTTAATGCCACAGACCATGTTTTTCTATCCTGATGGTTAGGATGGCTTAGGATAGTTTATTCTCCATTTTAGCTGCGTTTGCAAAATTACCTAGCTATTTCAGTTTAGATTCAATATTTGGCCCTCCAGCTCTCAATATCCATACATTTTTATAACAGTAATTTTTCTCAGACTTTGTTCCCAGCATTGACTTCAGAGTCTGACTAGGGTGATCAGATAATTTTATTTATCTAAGTCAGAATGCCTCCGAGAGTTAAAGGGGCCAGGTTAGTAAGTATGCTGAGACAACAGTGCAAATTTTGACTATCCAGGCACATTGGAACATGGGGTCGTTCTAAGAGGCCCCTAGGATATCCCTTCTCTGCTCCTAGTTTAGGGCACAGACCCTCTGAGGGCTAAACAATGTACTTTGCTCAATGGTCCCTTATTTTCTTGGGACTTTTTTCTAGACTATGATTTTCTTCTCTGTTATAGAGCAGAAAATTTAATAAGCAACCCTAGAAGAATAAAATATTCTAAATATTCTAATATTCCTTTAAAGCTGATTAGCTATGGACACAGAGACACATCTATTCATCACAGTTACAGTACAAGTATAAAATGTTCTGTACCTTTAATAAGCCCTTTTTCTTGCAGAGTTTTCAGGGACGGTCTTCGGGTAATAAACTTCTTTAATCTGCTTTTAACTCGGTTTTTGTCGCTTGTATCTGAAGCACTGTGATGCAGTCTGAACACTGGAGATTAAAAAAAAATCAGAAGCTTTCAGTAAATTTCTCCTTTATGATTGTTACTTTATGTAAATATGAGTAGAAAATAGTAGTTATGAAACAGCTACCTGAATTAACAGCTTGGGTTTTTCTGTCTAGGCAGGGCATACGAAAAAAATTTGCCCACATGGAAGTATTAGCCCTGCTGCAATACGAATGTACAGTAAGAATGGTATTTAATATGATAACCTTTATCTAGATAATTCCACCTATCTGTATCTATATACATAATTATGGTCAGAGTAAAGAAAAATTCACCTAAATTACAAGAGAAAACTCTTTAGCATTGTTAATTTCAAGGAAGTCTGATCAGGTACTATCTCTAGGTGATACAGGCATTTTTAAGGTCCTGCTTGCTTGAATAATTTTGTCAATCTTCTTCATTATGCTAACCCAAAGTGACTTCTTTTTTTGATCAGATGTTTCTTACTCTCCTTATTGATGATAATTGCCATCAAGTCTCAATGAAATTCAGAAACACAAATTTGCCTCAAACTTTTTTCATGTCTTCATCAGTCCTCTTTCCTTGGCTTCATATCCTCAGCTTTAGTTACAAAGTCAGGTGTGTGTCAAATTCATTCCTGAACTTTTGCCGAATGTCCACTAATCATCAGATACCATACTAAAGGCTGTGAACTCAGTGATGAATATGAACCATAGGTCTGGGTTGTTAATAAGCATAGTCTAAACACACTCAAGGTGTCTTCTTATTAATTACAGGCAGTAATTTGTTACACCTATAAGATAAGATGTAGACAATGGTTGCATAATGTGAGAATTTGAGACACTTTGTTAGGTACTGTTTTTAACAAATATAGATCTGCTTTTAAAAATCTGCCCTGCCCAGAGTGTGAGAAAGTTTCTCATAACTGGCCAAGTGAAGGCATTTTTGAATCCTCCCTCCCCTAGCTTTGACCACAAAGTAGCTGCAAACCTGATTTAGTAAGATAGGGAGTTAAGGTGAAGTGCAAAGAGGAAAACATTCTACTTGCTTTCTATCTGGGAGAAGTGTGGAGTTTTATTTTTCAATTAAGTTCAAAGTTTTGATTAACACATGGGGCAAGGTGCCATTAATTACTAAATTGAGACAATGCTTACCATTTGAAGAATATGTTATATTACTTATATTATTATATTATATAATACTTATATGTGTATTAATATAAAGAATACTTTATATTACTAATATAACACTTTATATTACCTTAAAGTAGTGCTTCTCAACTTTTGTACAAGTGACATTTTAGGCTGGATAATTCTTTGTTCTAGAGACCTGTCCAGTGCAGGCTGTCTGGGATGTTGAGTAGCATTTCAGGTGTCTCCTCACAATATGCTAGTAGCACGTTCTCCTCAGTTGTAATCAACAAAAATTGTCTCCAGACATTGCCAAATGTCCCCTGGGGGTAAGGAGATGGTATGCAGAATTGCTCCCTGTTGAGAATCACTGCCTTAAACTGATTGGAAAAGATATAGGAACCACTTGAGTTCTCATTTATTGGTGGTAAGTCTATCCATACACTAAGAAAATGTAAAAAGAAAAATCTATCATCTGTCTATCTATCTATCTATCTATCTATCTATCTATCTATCTATCTATCTATCTATCTATCTATATCTTTATCTATCTATTGTGTGTATATTATATATAAAATATGCATCTGATTCATTATCTGTCACCGACTATTTTTTAAATGTATTGGTAGTAAAAGTACAACAACTGGCATCTGAGAAGAGTGATTGGGTCTATCAGTTGAAAAGGTTGGGATCACTGTTTGAAATCAAGGCTTCCTAACCATTGTGCCTGGAAGAATGGGTTATATATGTGTAAGAATTACAGATGCCAACTGTGACCAGTACTTAGGGCAATTAAGCAGAACCAGGGTAGCCTGAGCCCCTGGGGGCAGTTGCATATTCTTTGGCTATCAGCAGCCTAATTCATTTTCTCCAGTGAGTTATACAAGTATTACCATTTTCTCTGTGATCTTAAATAGTTTAAGAAGCTTTAGAACAGTGCTATCCAATTTGGTAGCCACAAGTCACTTGGAATGCTGCTTGAGTCATATGTCAAATTTATAATATTTTGGACATTTTTGACTAAATAAAATATCTTATTAAAATTAATATATTATCAAAACTTGTTTCCTTTTACTCTTAAAAAATGTGGCTACTAGGAAATTTTACACTACACATATGTCTCATCTTGTATTTCTGGACAGTGCTGGTAGATGATTAAAAAAAAACCCACAAACACAAATTGATCACCTGCATACCTACATGGCAGTGCTGTATTTAACTGGTGTTGATAAAATACATGTGGTCTGTGTAATTATAATATAGCATGGTAAAGAGTATAATGAAAGTACAAGAGACTGACCTCAGGTTAGTTTAGAGAAATAACAAGTGTCCTTAGAACCCAAGCAAGCAGAAATTGCTTTTACAGAACCATAAATATCAGTCATTAACTGATTCCAAATTGCATGGTTGGAAGAGTATTCTGAGCATCTTAAAACATTGTGCTTATGTGATTTCCTATCAACTTTCCCTCTAGGCACAATTATTGCAGTGACCTCCAGTGGTGTATGACTTCCTTCGACTGATGACTGTAGTCAAAGTCCCATAGGTCTGGGTTCTAGTGTTGGAGGCTGAAGAAACACTTAACATCCTTCAGAATAATTCTGCCTCAGGGTAGTTTTGGTCTCAGGTCCATCTTTGGAACAACACTGAATAATCAAAGTTTCCAAAGGTTACCAAAGGTAATATTTTCTATTTCTAGTCTCATCTCAAAATATTGCCACAGCCCATGACAGAATGTCAAGAAATTCAGGGTCAAATAAGGTATATTTTTCTGCCATTTTGGAACTAGCAAAAATGACATGTGTACTTTGCAGTCTAAAACACACATGCACACAGTATAAATGCTAGATTATGAAAATAATTATGTAGTGAGCTATATCTTTTTTGGAACCCCCTAGGTATTCCAGTGATAGTATTCTTAATTAGAGAGATATATATGTATATTATATTGTTTTCAATACCACCATCTGGTTCCACATGTGAGAAATGTGTTTAAGGTGCGTTGGTTTTTCAAAGAAAGTGGAAATATGTTTTTAAATGCTTTATCTTGTCTCCTTATACATGCTGAGAAAGTAACAGTCTTGGATAAGATTAAACAATTTTTAACGTGGCCAAACTTGCCAAAGTTGCCTCTGATGATGACTTTCCTGGAGACAGACTAGAGCATCAACTTCCATTTCCTGATGCCATAACTAATCATCCTCAGATGGCAAGTCAAGTTACAAGGCCTGTGCCATCATTCATTCAACTCATTTTGTTCTAAGAAGAGTTATGCAGAAATTGAAGTCAATAGATGACTATAATATATAGCATACTTTTTATTAACTAAATAACTTGAAAGCACTATAAATACAAAATAAAAACATAAGAAGTGCATAGTTATAAAGCAAGGTCTATCACTGAGTCCCTGTAAACAGCAGTAAAAGTCTTTGAATATTGTGGTTTACAAATTTGATTTTAACAGCCAAACTTATAAAACAGTTTATGCTTTTCTGTTGTCAAGGGAGAAAAACTTGCCAAATTGTTCATTTTAAGTAAATACAACATAACCAATTAAGGAAAGCAAAATTTAAACACATGCCTATGATAATCAGGACATAGTTTGCTTCTGATTTCACTACTGATTTTAACAGAACAGTGCTTCTTCCATTTTCCCACAGCACCCAAGTGACCCCACACATACTTTTAGAAACTTGTAATCACACAGTGCAAATAAAAGGACACTTTACTGGAAAATACACAGTGTGGTACAATAATCCATCATTTATGAAAAATAGAATTCAGCCTTTTCTTTTTCCTCGGAGATTCAACTACTTTTTGAGGGTAAAGCTTCCTGCAGTTTAAAGATTTATGTTAAGCCAATGAGTATTTTTCCCATTTCCACTTAAATTTTTTAAATTTGAAAATGAAAAGAGCTGAAAGAGATATGAGTTTAGACTCTAAAACATTTAATCTGATTTACATAGGATGCCAGATAAATCACTCTTAATTCTATATATTTTCACCTCCATCAACAGTTAACCTGAATTGTACTCGCTTTTTAAGTATTCTAGAATTTACTTACATTTTCTCTCTTTTTTATATTAATGAGAGATCTTTCAAGGCTGAACAAATAGAATATTTTTCAAAGACTAAGAATTTTGAATAACAATATGCTATCTAAGTCTCAATACACACAGGCCAAAGGCATTAGCTTTAAGTACCATTCTTAACCAGTTGAGAGACTTAATTGGTGCTAAAACTGCTCTCATCAGAGAAGAGTCAGAATCCTGAGCTTTCTAAAATATTTGGATATGGCCTTTCTAAGATGATCTTCATTTAATAGCATTACATATGACACCAGGCATTAGCTCAACCCAAGTTTTATACCTGACACAGCTATTATGGTGTTAAAATCACCTCTAGAGGTAGGAATGCTTATTGTAATGGAGGCCCTTTGTGTATTTATTTTCCCACGTCGGTAATGGGAAGGGGAAGTAATGTAGTTTGGATGAGGAACATCTACTATCATGCCATTCAGTGTGTGGGAACCACAAAAGAAAACTCCCAAATCTTCCAGAATCTAACAGTTTGGATAATGTGATCCAGAATTGTGCATCTGCCAGACCTTCTCTTGCTGGGGATCTTATTTTGAAATAACTGCTTTTCCTGCCAAAGTGCTGTTCTCGCGGTATTCCCATGTTACAATTACATGTTGTTATTATTTTTTTTTTTTAAATTTAGAAATGCTGGGAGAGCTAACATTTCAGAAATGTTGCTAAAAGAAAGCAGAGTCATACTCCTTCAGAAAAGCTATTACAAACAGCTTTCTAGGGTATTTGTTCTCACTTGATTGGTGAGGTTTGACATAGGGATCAACATCAGGTGTAGATAGATAGTTTTGTTAGCAGCTA